TGGGTCCACCTCCAGAATTAATGATCCTTACCAGAGTGAGACAGAGAAATGCAGTTCAAACAAACTCACTTCTCTTCCAAGAGCCACAATTTAACAATCACCATTCCAAGTCAAATCATTCTATAGAAACAAACTCTTCACACCAAAGATGCACATGAAGAACAGAAAAATTTAACTTGTCTAAAAATTGACAGTGGTGTTCAAAAAATCAGCAACATGTTAGAAGTTCATTTGAATAAATGGTTATTTTTTTTCTACAAGAAATCATTTGATTTCGTGTTCATATAGGTCTGTAAAAAATTAATATTTCTAAAGGAAAAAAATAATAAATAGGGTGGTATAAGCATTCTGAAAACCATTTCTAAAAACTGTTTCCAGAAGTATCAGTTTCTCAGTGGAGATTAATACTACTTTTATTCCCAGCAGTTCAGCTGTCTGGCTTATGGAGACAAGGCAAACATAAAATGAGGACAGAAGCTAGACTAAATTAGGGAAATTCACAGGAATGGCCTCAAAAGGCATCAACTCAGTAGCAATGAGCATCCTCAGCACTCACATAAAAATACCTTTTCACATTAAAAAAAATAAATAAAGCTTCTTGGAAAAATCACTCATCCCAAAACTAGGGCAGGAATTATACCAAGAGAATCAAGAGACTAGATCTAGTCACACCTGATTAAAGAAAGACAGCAAAGATACTAGATGATACGTTAAAAGAACTCAAAATCCTGGACGAATTTCCCACTTGCCAAAGATGGGGTAATTTGGGAACAGTACCAACTGTAGTGGATGAAAATATACATTCATGAACTTGGATTGCAAAGAAAAATGAAAAAATAAAACTCTAAAGCATTTATCCTATCTAGCTAATCAAATAGCAGAGAAAAGAAAATGTGTTAAAGATTTCCTATTAATAAAAGAAAGAAGGATAAAGCTTTAGAATACCTCTATCACTCCTGAAAAACTAAAGCACTGAGTAAAAATCTTATCAGTTTGGTTCCTTCAGAAGCAACACTGTTAAATTCCAAAGACTACCACCACCATTATCAGAAAAAGAGGTGACCACAGAGCGTCTCCTGATGGAAAATCATACAGCATTATACACAAGTAGCACTGTGAACAAATGAATAAACTAAACGCTCAGGATCTTATCTTTTATAGGAAATGCAAAAGACAGGAGAAAATATTAAACATCCTAAGTATGTAAACACCAAAAACTAGCCTATAGGAAATAATTAACCTCTTCAAGAAATAATCCTTTTCTAGAAGAGAAGAATGGGAACCTAATTAGATTTTTTTAAAATAGAGGTAGATATGGGGGCTGTGTATGAAAATCCAAAACTAAAAGTAAAAATCCATTTCTAACTTATCAATAGGGTTAGGTTCCAAAGATAGCCACAGTGTGTGTCAATCAGCATTACGCAAAAACTGAGTTGAACTACATCAGATCACAAAATGAAGGCTATGTTCCTTGGAGAGGGACAGGATGCTAGGTAAGGTGGGCAGTCAGTGAAAGAGAGGAAAGCCTTCAACCAGTTTGACATGGTGACTGCCGCAACAGGCTCTTATGTGTCAGAAAGTTGAGGATGGCACAGGATAAAAGGGTTCTGATCTTTTGTTCATTGGGTCACTATGAGTCATACTCAACTCTTCAATGGTACCTAACAACAACAACAACAACGTGATTATATATCTGCCAATCTGTTGTTGTTAGGTTTCATAGAATCGGAACCAATTTATATAGATGGCCTTCCAGTGGGTTTTCAGAGGCAGTAAATCCCTAAGAAGAGACTGCCCACATTTCTCCCTTGCAGTGGATGATGTTCTTTTGGATAGCTAACACAACTCCTTACTACTAAGCCACCACAGCTTCCTTGCTGTTAGGTACCTCTTACTTAATTCTGATTCACAGTTATTGTTACAGATTATATTATGATGGCCTTAAAATATGTGTTTGAAACCCTATGGCTGTGGTTCTAATCCCCTTTGGGTACGGGTTGTCCTTGTTGTGTTACTGAGACAGGATTAGCCTTCTGAGATGCAAAGCAAGCAAAGAAGAAAGATGGGGTAAAATGGATTCCAATACATGTGGAATTCTCCAAGGAACCAGGATGCAGAAATGGAAAAGATCTTCCTTCAGAGAGTGAGAGAGCTTCCCATAGAGCCAGAACCCTGAATGTGCACACCCTCCTAAACTGTGGGACCGCTAAGTGAAAAATTACGTTTTAATCTATTCGTCATTACAAATGAAATAATATTGGCAATCTCCTCCTGGTAAAGATTTGCAGGCTCGCAAACCCAATAGAGGCCTGTCATGAATTTTCATTTACTTAATGGTAGTGAGTGTCAACTATGAATTTCTGTTAAAGGCACTCAATTGTGCTACTTCCGTTACAAGTAGTACTAAGTAACTAAGATAGCAAACCCATAGATATAACAGAATTATTCACAACATGAACCTGTGACATCCTCCCAATTCCTGCCATGTTTCAGCCCACTCATGTATAAAACACAAAGTGACCTATGAATAACAAATATGAACCCTGTCTTATCCTGTGCCATCCTCATCCTCTCTGACACACTTGAGCCTACTGCTGCAGTCCCTTAAAAACTATGAAAGTCATTTTTAATTATAGCTTAAAATCAAGAAAGAGCTATATCCTTTTTCTCCACACCTCTATGCTGAACAAATTATTCAAGAAGCTGGACTCTATAATGAAGAACGGGTCATCAGAATTAAAAGAAGACTCATCAACAACCTGTGTGATGCAGATGACACAACCTTGTTGCTGTAATATGGATGGAAATGAAAGACAACAATTATGATGAGTGAACTAAATCACAAAAGAGTAAATGCTGTTTTATCTCAATTATACAAAAAAACAAGAAAAGGTAAATGCACAGAGAACAAAAGTTGTATGATAAAAGTTCCAAAAATTACCCCTCTAATATGGGGTGGGGGGGAGTAGCTGCTGGAGCTTGCTTATGTAAGCACCCCAAAAACCTCGAGATTTTTGGTCCTTGATTTGGAACGTTATGGTTTCATGGGACCATTTAATTCCAATTAACTTACCTAATATCATGTTTCACTCATATGTCAAATGCGTTAATGGTTGGCTACCCAATGCAGACAGAGAGTGGGGTGGAGCTCCCAGATTAAAACAAGTTTGGAAGGGGGAGTGGCATCCACTTCCATAATAGCTTGCTTCCGGAAACCCTATGAACCTGGAGAGAGGATGAGAGGCACCCAAGCGTCGAGGACTCTCCTTCATAGGGTTGCTATGAGTCGCCTGTGACTAGACGGCACTTAACAACAACAACATCATGTTTAGTACTTCTGTTTGTTGTGTTGGTGTTGTACTTGTGTGCCATTTGTGTTGGAACAAACCCACAGTTGAACCTCCAGTGTGTTTTCAGAGGCTAAATCACACTGGAGAAGATCTTTCTTTCTCTTGAGAAGCAGCTGGTGAATTTAAACACCTGCCTTTGAGTGGTCAGCCCAACTCCTTACCCACTAAGACATAGAGCTCCCTTCAAAGTCATTCATGTCTTCTTAAAAGCTTGCAAGCGCCTATCCTATCCAAGACACAAGTGGTCTACATTTGCCTAGAAGAGGAGGAGGTAATAGGACAGAATATATGGAATGCGTAGCTAATTGCTTCGATGAACACCTCTTTTGCCATGAAATAAATGGTGCTCAGTTACCATTACTTAACATTTTGATCAAAGATTCTAGAACTTCAAACTGTCATGGAAGACACATTTGCAGGAAGGTTGGAGGAACCTGCAATTACTGCTCTGAGACAATCTTCAGACTTTAAACAAAAAAGACTCAAAATCTTCTTTAAAACCAAATAGTAGGTTAAGCTTAACTAGTAAATGCTTTCAATATTATGCTGTTTTAAGAACTATCTAAATGGATCTAATTGACAACAGTAAAGCAAAAGATTATGCAGAAACCTTAAGAGGGCAAGGAGTTTATGTCAATGGGAGAGGAAAAACCCAGAAAACGAAAGCCAAGAGAACTGCTCAACTTGAAGAATACAATGTTGTTGCTGTGTATCCTCGAGTTGGAACCAACCCAAAACTTACTCTCTAGCAGGTTTCCTGAGGCATTAAATCACACAAGATGAGACTGCCCATCATTCTTCCCTGCAATAGCTGGTGGATTTGAACTAAGTGCTTTTGGGTTGGCAGAGCAACTCTTTACTACACTAGGCCACCAGAGCTCTGGAGAATCCAATAAATGACACACGGTACACGCAGAAATTATTCAACTAACGTAGGTTTTGCTGTGTATACTCTCAACAGCAGCAATTTTTTTCTTTTTTTTCTCAATTCAACCAATTAAGTGTTGGCGAAGTTTTAGAGGAACTTCCCCATATCCACTGCTGGTAGGAATGTAAAATAGTGCAACCACTGTGGTAAAGTTTGGTGATTCCTCAAAAAGTTGAACAAAGAATTACTATACGATCCAGCAATCTCAGTTCTAGGTATATGAACTGGAAGACGTGAAGGCAGGAAGGTAACTAACAAATGGCAAATCAAGGTTCAGTGAAGCACTCTGCACAATTACCAAAAGCTATAAATCAAAATGTCTACCCACAAATAAACAGATAAACAAAAATCAGTACAAACATAATGAGCTATAATGTAGCAGTAAGGTTCTATTTTAAAACATCAGTTATTTCAAACTCAAGTTTTCTCCAGAAACTCAAGATTATGACTCAAAGCATAATCCCTACGGGAGCTCTGGTGGCCTAGTGGCAAGAAGCTGCACTGAAATCCCAGAGGAACACGGTTCGAATCCACCAGACGCTCTGCCGGAGAAGGAGGCGCAATACCCTCCTGTACCAGTCAGATCTGATTTGACAGCACACGCACACAAAATTAAAAAAAAATAATAATAATAATAATTAAAAAAAGCATAATCCCTAATCTACTTTCTGAATACAGCAAGATTTGTATCATATATATCCTGTCTGGCTTAAAATATTTACCTTCAACCTGGCTAGTATCTGCACATGATTTCTTCTTTGACTCCGAGTTTCCAGTTTTTTCATCAACATCCAGAAGAGGAATATAGTCTGTTTTTCCAACAGTTTCTCCCACAACATCATCAAAGGCCTCGGCTTCCAATGTGGCAATGAAGTCCCGCTTTATTTCTCCTTCAATCTCTGGAGTTGGTTCTGTTAATGCATCTACAAGACTGAGGTCAGCCATTCTGCACTGCTGAAATTGCCTGTTTAAAAGGGAAAATATGTCACACAATGAGCAATATAAAGCAAAAAACCCCACATTGCTAAACAGCCTCATTGGTAGTTTAAAATCTAAAATTTTAAAGCTGTGTAAAATTCTCACCCTTTACAAATGAGAAAATTAAGGCCTAGAAAAGAGATAGGCACTTGCTCTGCCTACCTTCCAAGGATGCAGGGAGCACCTGTGGAGCAGCTTGTGAATCTGAATGG